TGCACAGGTACAGGGCAACGAAATGCAGTATGGAATATGGAGCTGCCTATGACAGTTAACAGATTTAACTACAATGGTCAGCTTTTAACCATGTGTTTTGCCCTATAATATAAATTTGTCTTTTGCCTACAGATGGATGATAATGCAGAAGAAAAAAAAAGAACGTGTATCTACAACATAGAAAAAAATTAATACACAGCTCCAATAAAAGATTTGCAAATTTTATCATTCTCTCGGCTCTTGAAGGAGGCGATTGCACTTTCCCCCTCTCCCTTATCTTTCCTGCTTGGCTTCTCATGTCTTGTATAGTCTCGCTTATTCTCTAATCCTAAGAGAGTCTCCCAGACTTGTTCTCTAAAAACCTAAAGAAGAATTATGGATTTGATCAACTGGAATTGACATCCTCCTGGGCTTGGGAGAGCCCAATTGTCCTGCGGAGACGTTTGCTGCCAGATACTCGATGGTCGGTTGCATCGTGTGTCTGGCAACACTCTTGATGGAGGACATTGAACGACATCTACCAGTTCGGAACTATGATAACAGAGTTCTGGCTGAATGGAGCTGGCTCGGACCTGGCTTATTGAAGAACAAGGAGCAGCTACAGCTGTTCAAAATCCCACAAAGCTGGCCGACATGATAGACGATGGGCAGTGCTGTGAGCACTCACACTGTTTTTTATTACGCAATATGGATGCGATCTTGAAGAAGCTCATGGCTCTGTTATATGGATGCGATCTTGAAGAAGAACAACGGGAATTGAGAGACCTGGTGACCAGTGACGGACATTAGACCTACTGTAAAACTGGAAGCAGTTTGTTCGGACTAACCAAAACAACCATCTTCATCTCATGCGGCCCCCCTGGCACCAGCTGGATGGTCAAGGCAAAAGCTGACGGGAATCACAAATTCTCCGTAGATAATAAGACTGTTTGTTGTGACTCTCTCCCCCCTCATTCATGGCCACCCGCGTCGACCGAAGATTGTTTACTTTTGTCTAACTGGGTGAAGGGACACCTTCTCTCGGCTGAACACGGAACACACACACATACGCATGTCCCCCCATGGGGATAGACAAAGTCTTTTTTACTTGACTTGATATCTAATATTAATCAGGCAATTAAGCATTTCACATGAACTGTTCACATTGTTGTGAGTAACAATTTTGCTGCACCTATCAGCTGCCAGTCAGGCTGCAGAGT